AAAGAGTATTGAGGACGATGAACGGAGAAGACGATTGGTACCGTTACGTAGATTTAACTGTGATTAACGGAAACGTGGTGAGGTTGTGGGATGATAACGGAGTCCGTAACTGCGTCAGGTTCAGTGTACAGCGCAAGTTGTGCTGTGGTTGGTAGATTGTCTGTACGGTCTAATTAATTATTAATTAAATTATTAAAATCCGAGGGTAGTTATTCTTAAACCCCTTTTTAAGGATTAAGAGAAAAAAAAAGTTGTTAATATTATTTTAGCAGTAGAATTAAAATATAATATCAATTGGAATTTCAATATTGGTTGCATATTGATTTCTAATGAAACATGTTCAAAAGACTATTTTATAGAATGGAGAAAAATCAATAATCTATTTTTCATTTACTCATTCAAAGTCCATCTTATAATTTTATGAAAGCCATCAATCCAATACATTCGTATACACAAAATAGAAATGTTAGATACTTTGAGTTTCGCAGTTCAATTATTATTATTATTATTTCGGATTTTTAGTTTTTAAAAACATTATACATATTCCTCTATTCGATTTAGAGTTTATCTCCGATTTTCGTATCAGTTCCATTTTTATATGACATTTTAATAAAAATTATTTTCTAGAAAAAATAATTTTAATATAAGTATATTGTTTAACTCGGTTTGATTTTGTTGTGTACAAATAACCGACCAAAACGGTGTCCACAAAGTTGATGGGCCTAAAGCCTAATTGAATCCAGCCCATCTCTAGATCTAAGGCGAACGATTTGGCCCATTACAAAAAATCCCCATGAATCAATTTACCAGAACTATTTTTTAATAAAATCAAAATTAAATTAAACTAATCTAAATTTACCAGAACTAAAAGTAACAGGATGATTATTCTAATTAAAAAAGAAAAAAATTAAATGTTTCTTAATCAAATCGCATCACATCACATCAAAATTGTTTACACGATATAATCAAATTTTCTCTTGCAGAATAACAGGACCCCGAGCAGGGGCGAGCGTTTCGAGAAACGGTTCAGATTCGGGACAGAATAAGTCGGTTCGGTTCTTTCGGTTTTACAAAAATAGATACCAATTGGGTTATTTATTGTATTCGGTTCAGTTCGGTTTCGATTCGGTTCAATTCCGGATTTTATTAAATAAATGATAGATTTCCTTTAAAAATATTCGGTTTTTCGGGATTTTTAAAGTTCGGTTCGGTTCCGCTAAAATTCGGTTCTCTAAAAATGGTACCGTTCGGAAAATAACAGCAGTTTCGGATCGAGAAAAATACCGAACCGAAACGTCCAGTCCTAATCTCGAGCGTGCATTTCCCAACATTAAATTCAGATATCGAAATCATGTATAATAAAAAAAAATAGAAATTTAAAAAAAATGAAATAGCGAATGAATGAAAATTGATGGCGGGGGGATGAGGTGTGAATGCGACCACGTCAGGTGGGATTCGCTGTCTTAAGGCCCCTCCCCCTCTTTTGTCTCAATCCTCTCTAAATGTTTTTGTTCCCTCATTAAAAAAAATTCCGATTACGTAACAATTTCGATTTTACGATCGTATAAAAATAACAAAATAATATCTATCAATATTACAAACATATATTTAGAATTTTCAATCCTAACAATAAGGATGGATATGTTGTCGGATTCGAATATATGTGGATATTGACATATTTTGATCGAAAATGAAGATTTCGACCAATAACCAAAAAATAAAGATACAAATTTGATACTTACAAACACGTGAATATCTTCTTTTGGATATTTAAATCTCGAATATCGGAATCTTATAGATACCGAGTTTAAATTTTTTTAATCCAAAACATTTTGATTCAAATAATTATAATCTATGACACAAATCTTTTTAAAAACAACAGAAATTCACATTTTCAAAAACTTTAAAAATTTTATTCAACACACATGACTTTGCTTGATCAAAGCAAGCATTAGGAATATGAGTGTTAGGCCATATTACCTTAATTTTCATGCATGAAAAATGCTACATAATGAATAACACGACAATGATATTTACCACACTTGACATGACCCTTTCTTAAATTTTATTTTTAAACCATTCCTTCCAAATTTATTCCCTTAAAAATTCAAAATAAAACTAAGATATGTATCGAGAATTACTTCCCAAATATATTGATCCTATATTTATTTAACTATTTCAAATATATCTGAATTCGATCCAAAATTTGGTCACTCAACTTGTAAAAAAAAAAGACCATTCTCAATCCAATTTTGAATCTCTATTTAAAGAACGATCTTCACGAACTTCTCAAATCCTTTCGGAGACGGGACAAAAGTCCGATAAAATTTTAAATTATTATAAAAAAATTGATTCAATACAATAAGAGCAACAGTTTAAGCTATAATATTAAAAAAAAAAACTAAACTATATAACACACACACACACACACATATTACATATATATATCCGATAATGTGTTATAGAAAAAGTAATAAAAAACGATAGAAATCAATAACCGATACAGCCGAAATCATTTTCGTGTAACCAATCGAACCGGAAAGGCCACGTAAAGGGCCGGGCCCTCTTATACTTATGTGAACGAAACCCACAAAGGGCCCACGTTTATCCATCTTCACTGCAAATGGACACCATGTCGCCACCGCTCAAATGCATTCATCTATCTCTATTTATTTATTTATTTATTTATTTATCGATAATAATCATTAGACATTACTATTTAAGAGTTCGTCTCGTTCTTTTTATTGGATCTGATTTTTTTTTTTAAATTAGTTTTTCAATGATTATTATGATAACGACGGCGATCGATATTACATGAGCTGGCTAGGGTTTTCTGCAAAATCGTAACCGGTATTTATTTCGCCTTCGATGCCCACGTCTCTCTCTTCGGCCGCCACCTTACAGTTGTCCCTAATTATATATATATATATACGGTATGTATATATATCACTAATAATATCACTAATCTAAATAATAATAATATCGATATAAATTATTATATATATATATATATGTTTGCATACACATGCATATGTTTGTGTACGTAACATTACATTTATAGACCATTTCGATTTCGGATGTGATCTATGATTTGACATGTGATCTTGATGAATCAATTTAATTAATACGTTAATTATAAAACAAAAAGAATATTAATAAGTTAAACTTGAATCCATTTTCCATCCTTTTTCTGTGATTTAATAGATATTCTTTTACTCCAAAAGATAGGTCAATAACCATTATTTTAAAAGTAAAAAATATTGATTATCTTTTACAAGTGAAGTCATAAGAATGAAACTTATTTTGAATGTAAAGGATTTTAAGATCGATTGTTCTTAAAAGGACACATCACTAAAGGGAATATGCTTATATATATATATATCATGATTAGATATTGACATGCTTGTGGAAAAAAGATGCATCCAAATAATGATTAGGGTATTTTATTTAATTAGGTATTAATTAGAAAATCACGATCAAGTAATTCAAAGAATTAAATGCCCAACAAAAAAGCAGAAGTTTTATTTTACAAGAGATTTGCATAATAATAACAATATCATCAAAAGAGTAACATGGAATATTGTAAATATTTTTGGCAGCATATGAATATATAAGTTTTAGAACATTAAATGATATATATAAATATACATACATGCACATATATATATATAAGCATTAATATTACTACTGCTAGTAAGTAGTAACCAAAATATGTGTGTTGAAGATATGCACCACGAGAGATCTTCCCTCACATGTGACGGTCTCCACTTCTTACCCTCTCAGCGAGAGATTCCATTTTATATTATAAGCTGTTTATATCATTTTTACCCTTCTTATAATGTAACTTACAATAGCCTATACGATAGATACGCATACTTCTATTGTTCAAACGAATCATTCAAAATCAAAATCAATTCATCTAAATGATTTGAATAATCGGTACATGAAATAGATTTTATATTGTTCAACACTTGTCTTTATTTGAGTTCAACACTAGTTAATGTGCATTATCATTAGTACAAGGGCTCGTACTCACAATATATATGGAATTATATGGGAAAGATATTTGTTTATTTCGAAAATGCTAAATAATATAATAAAAAACCAGGAGATTTAGTCTAGTTTATTATTAAAACACGAATTAATTAATGATACATATATACCATAATACAAATGGTGGAAATTGGTGACATCAAATCTTATTACATAACATTAAATTTATAATAGGATATTTAATGTAATAGATTTTAATAATAAATAGATAGTGTCGTTTTAAGTTTACGAAAAGCCTCATATTATTTATTTGTCATTAATATACTTTCAGTATGATTTGCTTGAACAGAGTAAAATGTGAAAAAAAAATCAATAAGAAAAAAGAAATTGGAAAAGCTGACTCTGTGCTTTTTGCAAACCTTTTGGTGGTTGTCTCGGTCTCTCTGATCATCCCTTTCCGACAACTCTGTGTGCTTCTCTCTCTCTTTGGTCCTGATTTTACTGTCACTTCGCTTCTTCGTTCTCGCGTTTTTTTTATTAACCCATTTCCCAATTTCCAAACTTTTTTTTAAAAAAAAATTCTCTCACCGAATCTACTTCTGGGTTTGCACCGAAGTAGGGAAAAGGAAGTAGCTTTGTTCGTGTAGTTCCTGTTCGGTTTCTGGGTCTTTTGAATTCTCAGTTTCGGTGAAAGTTTCTGTCGGAAAGTGGAGTCCTTTTCCTCCTGTGGGTTTATGATCGTTAATCTTCGGGAAGATTCTCTGTGAAAAAGCACTTCGATCTTTCATTTCTCGTAGGAATCGGAATTGTGGTTGGAAGCAAAACAGAGAAAGATTCTCCATTTCTGATTAAGTTCTTCAGATTCATACAATTTTCTCGGGGGACTTGGAATGTGAAGAGGGAGGTGAAAAAGTTGCATTCTTTATGTTCGTTTTGGGAAGAAAAATTTAGGGCTTTTTTTTTAATCAGATTTGGGGATTGAGCGGAAGATGAAGCTAATGAGAAGAGACTTCATCTTTTCCTGGGGCTTGACGTAATAAAAAAAGATCTGTCGGAATCAGACTGTTGGTGTTTCTCCCGAGAGATTTAGGGATTTTAGCTGCAGCAATCATGAAATCTCCTTCATCAAATGGGGTTTCTCCCAATCCCGGAGGAGGTTCGTCCTCTTCCTATATTTTTTTTTGTATCGTCTGATTATATGTTTGCTGATACTCTTTTTAATGCTTTGATTGAAACTTATCCTTTGGACATGTAAGTTGTTTATGTCTCATT